AACAGCGTAGTATTTGCATATAACCTGCACACATGCTTACATATAATTTAAATTTCTTAGACTATCTAATACAATTTGCATTGATATTTTAGGAAAGACACAGGATTTCTAAGATGTCTTAACCAAACATCAATAGCCTAGTAAAAATTTAGAAAACTTTGGATTAATTTTTCAGTTGAAAATCAAATATTCTAAAAAACTATAAAGTTTAAGAAAAACAAAACTCTATATTAGAATTATGAGTAAAAAATTACTATTCTTTTCATGACAATGTTGAACTTGGCAAATTTTAACTTACTTCATACCCTGCCATATCCATGCCAACATTTTCCTACAATTGAGTTCCATCTTATTTTCAACTGCCCCTCAAATAGTCTCTCTTCTTTTAAAGAACCAATTCTTATTTTGATTTTTTAGTAGATTAAGCAGTGAGATTTGTGAGAATTTCTTCTTTCTTTCTTTCTTTTTTTCTTTTGAGGCAGAGTTTCACTATGTCACCCTCAGTAGAGTGCTGTGGCATCACAGCAACCTCTAACTCTTGGGTTTAAGTGATTCTCTTGCCTCAGCCTCTCAAGTGGCTGGGTCTACAGGCGTCCGCCACAATGCCTGGCTATTTTTTTTTATTGCAGTTGTCATTGTTGTTTACTGGCCGGGCTGGGTTCAAACTCGCCACCCTTGGTGTATGTGGCTGGTGCCATAACCACTGTGCTATGGGTGCTAAGCTCAGAAGTTCTTTCTATCTTGAGCATCTGAAAATCTTTTAAATTTTGCACTCATGAGCAATAAATGTTGGATTTTCTCCATCCACCCTCCCTATTTTAACCTCCCCTTTACATAGTCACTCACTTTATCTTTCTTTCCTGTATTGTGGGAAATTTCATATGTTCTATATTCCTGTTTACTAATTTTCTCTTCAGCTTTATCTAAAGCAGTATCTGATTTGATTTTTAATCTTTCATTGAGTGTTTGTTTGTCAGTTTTGAAATAGTCTCACTCTTTCACCAGCCTAGAGGACAGTAGTTCACTGCAACCCCAAACCACTGGGCTCAAGTGATTCTCCCATCTCAGTAGCTGGGATTACAGGGATATGTCACTATGCCTGAGTAATTTTTCCATTTTTTTGTAGAGACAATCACACTCTTGCTCAGGCTGATCAGGCTGATCAGGCTGATCTTGAACTTCTGGCCTAAATCAGTTCTCCCATATCAGCCTTCCACAGTGCTGGGATCATAGGTGTGAGCCAGTGTGCCTCACCTCTTCCACTGAATTTTAGATTTTAATCATCATACTTACTTCTAGACATTCCATTTGATTTCCCCCCCAAACCTGTGAACAATATTCTGTTCTTTAATTCTTTTGAACAAAGTTTGTCTTTTTACTTTTACTTGCTTTTTAGTTTCATTCAGATTATGCTGAGTCCATGTAATGGGAATGCTAACACATTTATTATATTGCTACCCCTCTCTAACAGTGGACTGCCCCTGAGAGATTTGAAACTTTGTATTCTAAGTTCATTTTCAGGAGTAGATTACTTTTAGTATAGACCAATGTACTTAACCTTATGGCAGGAACCCTAGAAAGTGGCATGCTGTTTGCTCTGCTGGTGACCCCAAAGTTTGGCCAATTATATTAATTTTTGGCTCCCAGTGCTGTATCTTAGACTCCCTACCAGAGCTGGTGTAGGATTGTGGTTTTACTATAGGTTTTATTTAAATGACAACTTCATTTTCCTCTTTTCTATTATGAATTTTCCTGTGGCTTCCTTGGGCTGGTGGGCAAAGATGTTTCTCCTGGTGGGGAAACCACTTATGAGCCCCAGTTTCATTCAGGGTTCTTGCTTCCACATCTAAGTCTCAGGCTTTCACAAAACAGGTCTTCTGCCTCTGTGCCAAAACAGACACCCTCACTCCCAGGTCCTGGGACCTACATCTCTATCAGTGATTTTTAACCCATGTGCCA